ATAAAATTCCCTTTCCGTATCACTCAGATGCATCCCCAAATCTTAATGTGTTACAGTTTCATAATCATTTAATTCTAAGTATTTGCTATTTTTTTCTAAGTTTTTGATCCAGGAATTATTCAGAGGTATGGTTTTAAAATTCCATACTTATGATACTTTGTAGTCATATTTTTTAAATTCTTAATTTCTAATGAATTGCAAGTGGTCAGATGCAATTTAGATGGTTTGTGTATTACAGATCATGTTAAATTTTTTGAAATTTACTTTTCACATAGGACTTACTTTTAATAAGTGTCCACATTTACTTCAAAACAATGTGTATTCTCTAATTATTGGGTGCTGAGTTCCATGTATGACTATTAGATCAAGCTTGTTAATTGCACATTCAAATCTCATACATCCTTACCTTTTTTTTTTTTTTCGTGACCGGTACGGGGATGGCAACCCTTGGTGTGGTGTTGCCCACACTGCGCTCACTGGCTGAGCGCACCAGCCATTCCTATATAGGATCCGAACCCACGGCGGGAGTGTGCCATGGGGCCGGCCCGATTCTTACTTATTAATATGTCATCTGCTTAATCTAATAATTTCTGAGACAGGACTGTTAAAACTGCTCACTATTCAATTGAAATTAGATTCAATTCTGCAAATATTTATTGAGTACCTATTATGTACCAGACACTACTCTAAGCCCTTTTGTAATATCAGTGACCAAAACAGGAGGTCCCTGACCATATGGGGCTTATATTCTAGTGACAATAGGGACAGACGATAAACAATAAACAATAAAACAATAGACAATAAACAATAAAACATTATAAATAAGTAAATTACGTAGGATAAATTATACGGTAGAAGGTGATAAGTGATATGGAAAAAAATAAATAGGTCAGTGTAAGGGAACACAGAAGAGCTGGAGGTTGGAGTGAATTACAGTATTAAATGGGGTGGTCAGGGTAGGTGTTATTCAAAATGGGAAATCTGAGCAAAGACTTGAAGAAGGTGAGAGACAGAGCCAAGCACCTCTCTGGGGAAAGAGTGTTCCCGGCAGAGGGAACAGCCAGTGCAAAGGCCCTGAGGCAGGAGGGAAGACTAATCACGAAGCGAATGTGGCTAAAGAGAGTGACCAAGGGAAGCACGGCCGAAGGGAGGCCAGAGTGGTAATGGGTCCTTTCAGGCCATGGTAAGAACTTTTACAACAAATGGAATGGGGAGCTAAGAAGGGTTTGGGACAGAGGAGTGACATGATCTGACTTATATTTTAAGAAGATCACCCTGGCTGCTGTGTTGAAATTAGACTAGAAATGGGCCTGGTTAAAAGCAGGGAGCCCAGTGAGGAAGCTATTATAGTAAAGAGGTAAGAGATGATGCCGGATTTTTTAATTTATTTTTATTTTTTATTTTTATTTATTTATTTATTTATTTGTCTTTTTCCATGTCCGGCAATGGATCGCAACCCTCAGTGTTGCCCCCGTACTGGACCGGGGACCGGCAACGGGATCGCAACCCTCGGTGTTGCTCCCGCGCCTCGCTCAGCCAGTGAGCGGGAACCGGTCTGTATGT